AAACCTCGGCAGCCTGACTGCAAATGTCTATGTCACTCATGTAAGGTTTCATAACAGCAGTTTTCAGCCCTACCTGTACATGATTTTCTATTATTGATCAATGTGCTGTTGTCCTTGTGTACTGATTTTAGCTGCATGCAGAGTACTCCCGAGAAAAGGACTCTTATCTACCTCACAGAGTGGTTCAGGCCTGGGAGCTGCAGCAGTTCATTCGGTACTGTGCCTTTGCTTGTTTCTTTATATTTGTTTACATATTTACTAAAATGTTTGAAGTAACATTACAAGTAACATTTATCTCATTTGTAGAATACAATGACTAACATGTTTGGTTTTTTTTTCTGTGCTTCTTAGCCACACCTCTGCTGGTGCAGATGTGGTCATTGTTGGTGGTGACCTCAACATGCACCCTCAGGACCTTGGGAACAGACTACTGAGGGCTTACACTGGACTGCAAGACTCTTATTTAAAAACAGCTAAATTTGATGTATGTAGAAGTATTAATCTGTATTCAAACAGTGAGTGCAGTAATGAAATCAAGTGCCTGTTTTTATTTATGTAGATTCATGCAGATTTTAGTGCATTTAAATTTACATCACTTCAAGTTGAAATACGAGGCACAGTGGCAGTCTTAGAGTTGCCACATTTAATTTGATGCAAAAGGAAGTTGGACCATAAAGTCTTGGCTATTCATTGTGGTTCTTAGAGCTGCACACGACAGATTGGCTCAAAAGTAGCTTTGCTACTGTGTTATTGTGGTCTCATATCTTAAGGTCTGAGCTGCAAAGTAAAATGGTATTATTCAAGAAATGCCAGGGTTGTAAACGTAGAAGCAGCTTTCTGTTACACTTTGGTTTTATGTAAACTGAATTTAAGCAAGTTTTTTTTTCTTGCAGGGATGTGAGAATGGTATGACTCTTATAGCAGACAACCCTTTTATTAGTAAAAAGGAGCTTGTACCCTTTGAGAAGGGGATTCGAATCGACTACATACTATTTAAGGTGAGTGAAAGCAGCATGTCATCTGATGATTTTTATAAAGCCATGTAACTGCTAAAGCATGATTGCCCTCTTGTTATTCCCAGGGTTCTACAAAAGCCGAGGTCCATTGTGATTCCATGTGCACTACCAAAGGCTCCGTTCCCAACCATCCTTTCCCATACTCCGACCATGAAGCTCTCACTGCTGAACTGAGGCTGGAGCCGCACACTCCGGCTGAAACAGGAAGTGACAGAAAATTGAAGAATAAGGACTCTACTACAGGTATCTGCACACTGCATGCCAGCAGGTTGTCTCGTGTAAAGGTGATTGATTGTACAATTACTTTGGTATAAATTATTCAATGGAAAACCCATTTTGATTCCTCCACTTTTACCTATCAGAGTAATTTTAATCTGTCAGACAAGAAAGAAAAAGAAATAACAGCCCTACTGAAGCTCTGTAGCCAGGCTGTACTGCCAGCTTTAAGTATATGCTGGTGTTTTGTTTTGTTTTCTGGCTGCTCTTCCAAAAGGACTATTCCAGGCCACATGTTGTAATTTCATCCATGGTTAAATAGTGCCAGGAACAGTGGGTTAAATAACATGGAGCACAGTGAATATTTAATGTTCTGTTGTAACAATAATCCTGTCCAGTATAGAGCTTGACTCTTCAACACTTTCTGCAGTGCTTTACTGTCCAGCTTTGTACTGGTATAAAGGCTCCACTCTTTCTCTTGTCTCTCTTTCACGGACTTAGGGAAACTGGCTGAACTGGTTGACATTGTGACTGAGGCCCGCACTGAAGTCAAAGTGGGCTTGCACTGTGCTGAGAGGATGCGCTACACAGCAGCACGCACTGGAGTGATGGGGCTGGCTCTGCTGTTCCTGGAGCTGGTCATCGCCGCGGTGCCCTACTTAGCTCTGGGAGCAGAACAGCCTTTCCCTCGTACCTCCTTCTACCTGCTGGCTGTGCTGTGCTTTGCCATTCTGCTGACCACCTCCATGTTGTACATCTTTTACACAATGGAGCTGAAATCACTCCAGGGGGCTGAAGACCAGATGAGGCTGGGTATAGGTAGTCTGCAAGAGAAGCTTAAGGGCTTTTGTCTAGCTCAACTTCATAATCCCTCAGGAAGGCCCCCAGAGGTTCAGGAGCCCGGTGCCTTTGAGCCAGAGGAGTAATGCAGAGGCCAAGAATGTCAAAGTGGAAAAGGCGACTTTGAAGTCACTTTTATAGTGAACATGTGAGGAGCTTTGCTCCCCTGAATATTTTAGTTTTGGAGATTTATATTCATATTGCAGAATCAATCATAATTGAAATGCTTCTCTGAAAGTAGTGCAGGGCACATGCATTGACATTATATACTTTTATATAGAGATCTGTAGGCTTTTATTACACCTACATTTCACTTGATGTACCTAGAATATACAAATGTACTGTAATGCTTCTGTGCTGTTATGCTGAAGGTCATTAAGTCTGACCATTTGTGTTTTTTAGCCTCAGGTCCAATTTGCATTCCACCCACCAGTAGATTCACCGGGACCATTTTTTTCTGTTTTTATTTTAATGCTTCCCTTTTTTGAGTTTAATAATTAACTGCACAGAGATTATGGTTCCAGGTTGAGTTTGACCGTGTCTTTAATGTGTTAAATACATGAAGAAAGTAGCTCTGTGGTTTCCATTGCAATAGAAGACACAGACACTCCACATGTAGGAGGTTTACATTTCAGTCAGTAATATTTTTCCTCTACAACAGCACTTGTCAGGATCCTTTGTACTGTAGATCAGCGGTCCCCAACCTTTTTTGCGCCACTGACCGGTTTATGCCCGACAATATTTTCACGAACCGGCCTTTAAGGTGTCGCGGATAAATACAACAAAATAAAACTAGTACCGGTACCGAAAAAAAGAAGATTTATTCATAACACACGTGAAAAGACCAAGGAAAACCGAGTAAACGAAAAAAACGATAAAAACCCTGAAAACTATACATTTCACACCTGAGCCTCAACTCTCGTGGCCCGGGACCAACCGACTCACGGACCGGTACCGGTCCGAGGCCCGGGGGTTGGGGACCGCTGCTGTAGATAAAGGAACCAAGTCTGTATGCACGTATCATTTGTCATGCTCTCTGTTATAGTGTCTTAATCTTAAAGACAATCTACTCTCCTCTCATATGTTCAAGTATAGAGTGAAAATACTGAAAATGTTCTGCTCTTGACTTTGACCTCCTTTGGTCACATTTTTACAAAGCACAATATACCATAGACAATAAAAACAATACACCAGTTAGTGTGCAGTGCACTTTGTTGATTAACCTGGTGAACCACTTCCCTATAGTTTTGCTAGGAGATTGCTTAATATGTTACATTGCTAAAATACCATGTTGTAACTCAAGAGTTGGAACGTTTACTCTCACCTCAGTGAAGAAGAAGCACTTAACAGTTCTTAAGTTCATTATGATTTATAGAATTTCAGATACTTGATGTTCATTCCAACTCTCAAACTGTGATGGGCATGATCATGAAAGCAATAATAAAGACTTTATGCACATGCTTATGAACTGCTGTGGCTCTATGTAGACCTGACAAGTCGTCAGGAGATGGCGTCTGACATTTCAAACTATAGTTTGTATTCCCTGAGATTCACATATTCACCACTAGAGAGCAGTCAAAGTACAGTACAGTAACAGAGCTGGTCTTTCTCTAAGTATGTCATTGATTTAAAAAAAAAAAACAGCCTTCACAATATTAAATATACCAGACAACGGCTGTGAAAACAACAAAGCCAGTGAGAACATAAGAAGCCGACAACCTAACATGATAGATTAGGTGCCAGCTCACACCTTTAGCATGCACAGTAGACAAGCTCAGACATGGGTGTGGTGCATTCAAATGCCCCCCCCCCCACTGCAAATATGAATAATACATTAACTGCACACAAGGTAGAAGTTTCAAAGTCGAAACACAAATATGGCATATACAACTGCATATGCAAAAGTTTAAGACGCGCTGACATGTAAGGTGTTGTACACCTGTGCAACTTTGATTAAAACTGCATGTTTGGAAGTTATTCTGTTGCACTTTCCAAAATCTAATTAATAACCTTCCATAAATGATATAGGTATACAAAGCCTGGCGTTTGTAAAATGGAAAAAGGATACTGGTAATGTAAATGATAGTCTCAAAAGGCTATTTACAGACTTTTGTTGTGCAAAAGGAACTTGTATTGTAAATTTTAGCAAACAAGTAAGTAGCACCTTACCAGTTGTGCTTTTTTCTTGTGCGTTATTATTAGTCAAGTTATATTATCCTGTTATGGGACATATTGCACACAATATAAGTCAACAAAGTCAACTGCTTTGTTTAATACTTTTATTTCTTTTGCAGCATGCTGTAGAAATTGCAGCCTTTTCCGGCTTTCTCTGTGCTCAAGGAGGAGGAAAAAGAGCGTGTGAACAGGTCTAAACATGGGTTGACCTCACTCAACACTTCGTTTTCCTTCTCCTTATTTGCTTGACTTTAGTTGGCAACAAAAGTCTTGTTTCCATGACACAAACAACACAACTTTTAATCACTCAGTTAATCAATCCGTTTTTACTCCTGTGATTGTTTTTAAGCAGATATCTTTTGAGTGAGTGCCTATTGACCTTTTCAGTTCAAACAGTGCGTGTGTGTATGTATACAAGTTCATGTTGCTGAAATGTGTGCTTTAAATCTAGTATTTTCTCTCGTTGTCATAGGTTTTGGTTAAACAAAAACTAAACCTGGCATTCATTTCTAGGTGAATAATTACTTACAGCATAACTGCAACTACAACGAAGTTACATAAAGTAGAAATATCTGATGACAAATAGACTGCTTCACTGTTATTATTTTCCAGTACTTTAAATGCGCCTATGTTATGTTCTTTGCCAGACGGTTTCTTATACGTATATGTTAAAACAACAGAAAAAAGTAAAAGTGTCACGCTACGGCAGTCCTGTCGTCCTATTGTGTCCGTATGGGCGCGGTTTATTGCGCAGGGCAGGGCAAGGTGCGCTTTCTTCAGACTGCACGATCGGCGGCTGTCGAATTTCACTTATCTCCCGAGGAGCCGTCGGGACATTTAGAAAAATGTCGAAAGGAAACCCGTTAAAATCTGTCATTTCCATCGGGAATGTGGACGACACGTCACTTGCGATGCCGTCGGTTAACCGGAACCGAAGCGCACAGCAACGTGTCCTGGAGCAAGTTCAAAGTATGAAGCGGACAAAGTCGAGGTCCAGCACCAGCAGCAGGAGTGGAGCTACTTCTTTGCCTCCAACAAGTAAGATCTGCCACGACACCCAGAGCACAGATACAGCTTTGGACGCTTAGGAGTATCAAGGAGGAGATCTTGGAGATTGTGAGCCTGAAAGTGAAAGAAAGCAGTTAAAAACGTTGACCCTGTCGTCTTCTTCAGGACTCAAAGGCTAGCGCGTAGAAAGCCATTCAAGAAACGTGTTTCCCCCGTTTGGGTTTCGCCGTTTAAGGTCTATACAGAACACAAAACCATCTCTCCTTAGTCCCTCAAGACGAAATTCACAACTTTTTATGTTCGAATATGAAGTCAACATAAACCGAAACTTCATATTAATATGCTAATCATTTGTAGATGTTTTTGTTGATAATATTCTGTTTTTAATTACAGAGAAGCTGTAGCTCGAGCTGAATAATACAATGCATCAAAGCAAAAGGAAAAAATGACTTTTTGTTATGGTTTTAACAAGAGAATCAGTCTTAGAATGCCTTGCTATTGGTTCTCCAAATCTCTGGATTCTAATATTTTTCTGAAAGATTACCTGATGCATAGTGTTTGATTGTGCTGGAGAGTACTCGACATCAGCTCAACGTCAGCTTTGAATTAAGATAGCATTTGATTTGTTGCATTTTCATGCTTATTCATCTGATTATTGAGCCCTTGTGTTCCATGGGTGCATCGTCAGGTCAGGAGAGGAGACCCCTTGCATCAGGATAGAATTTTTTTTAATAACTGATAAATTGCTTAAAGGCTTCAGTATTCTTGTTTTCATCCCGTTTTCACCCCAGTAGTACTGAGAAGGCATTTAACCATAATTTAGGCTTTTTTGTTAACAAAATGTACTGGTTGTGCAACTGAATGTGCAGCATAAACTGCAAAGAAATATTAATGTCACCTCTGATCTGTGTACTTTGAATTAATATCTACTACTACAACAAAAAAAAAAGAAACAACACAAGCAAATCACATTGCTGTGTTTAAAATATAAGAAACATTTTGAAATAAGAAAGATAGGTGTAAATTATTTAATTAAGTTATTATGATGTTTTTGACATTGCTCAGCTTTACTATACCACAGGAAGTATGACAAATGATCATTTACTATAAAAAGTGTGGGGAGGAAATAATATTTATTCACAATATAACATTTAACAAAGATTGGATTTTTATAAGAGACGCTACATAACCTAAATACAATTCACAAACTGAGGATTCAGAGTATCGGTGCAATAGAAATGACAATAGAAGCCTGTATAGCCTTAAAGACAAACGTAAGACTGTTATGAAGCGCAAATACTGCAAAACTGACCTTACAGAGCTACAATAGGATGCACTTCAGAAATAATTTGAGTAATGTCAGAAAGCAAGTCCAGCACAACACAGTCTGCAGAGTGTGCACATAAAGGTCAGTAAACAAATGGACACTTGTTCAGCAGCCTAACTAACAAACAGAGTGCAATCAGTTATGTGGGTGTTATGAGGAAAGGCGTAATAGAGCTAAAAGAGAGAGCGCGGTGAAGCTTTCTTTCAGGAAGAAACCAAAAGTTAGTGGATGTCACATGTGTAGTGTTGCTTTCTCACAGAATTTAATATATGGATTCATAAAATGAGAGTTCCACTGTGACCGTTACATGTTTAAAGACAAGAACCCTTACAGACGCTGATATATTTATGCTCCCACTTAAGGCCTCTGCTTTCTACTAGGCTGAAGTGTTGTCTAACTTTTATTTCATTTCCTTCTTTTTTCTATCAGCACGGTAAATTTATGCATAAACACTACATCAGATATGCCGACAGAAAAAAAGAAGTTTAACTTTTAACTTTTTTTGCTAAAGGCAAATGCTGTAAATTAGTGATCATAAATCAGGGGATTATTGAACTGTTTTACAGCTTAATAATGTCTTCATTTCTCCTCAGGCCCAACGTATGACTCTGTGTTTGAAGAAATTCCAAAATCACCGCAGAGCACAAATGGAATTACGCTTCTTAAGAATGGCTACTCTAGAAGTGTAAGATTATGAATATCTTTTTTTTTCACTATTTGTAAACACAAATATTTTGTGGCATTTAGGAATGATTCCTGACATTTTCAGAATTGTGGCAAAAAACTACCAAAAGACATTATTTATATTAGAGCCTTATTTTAGACTGTATTACATTTAAAAAATACCACATACATTATAGCATCTTCTTTTATTAGTATTATTATTATTGTTTTCGTTGTTTAATTAGTGACACTATTATCAAAAATTAATTTCTATTTTTAAAAAATAAAGGAATTTTTAAATCAACCATCAGATAGTGGGTGAATGAAATATTCCACTGACACATTGTGGGACTTGTTGAGAACGAAATTGTGTAACAATGGTCAATCATTAACCCTTTGAGGGTTGAATTCAAAATCACACCAAGTTTAATCTTGTTTCCTTATTTTTTTTTACGTGTATTTTTGGAATCATTCCACAGTCAGAATATTTTTAGAGACAAGTCCTGTGGGGTAATTTTTGCTCGACACCCAAACCTTCTAAAATCTTACCTGCATTGCTATTTTTGGGAAGTACTGATTTATCATTATTTTATTATTTTATTTCTTTTATGTATATGTATAGATGTAGCTATCTATCTTTGTAAATATAAGGTTTGAATAGAAAACGTGAAGACACAAAAAATGTTTTCAGATCCTTCCAGAGGCTCCTCCCACACAAATCTATTTAACAGCTTGCCAGGCATTACACCACAGGGTTGCAAACCAAAACGCTCTTTCACAGTTTGATTTGCTCCATGCGAGTCTCAGTGCTGGTAAAATAAGTCTTCGTGACACAGTAATATATTTGATTGCAAACACATGTATCTTTTTTGTGGCTCTGCAGCTCAGCTATGAGAAAAACAGTACCCAGCAAAAAGCCAACATCTCCCAGGGATCCAGTGCGAACAGATACACAGTATCTTCTGCCTATCAATATAAGAGTCACTATGCCCCTGTTGGGCCTATGGGAGTCGGTCAGAGCAACAGCAGCCGCAGCGAGCCCAATATGGCATTACATCAGCGCACTGTGCCATCACGTTCGGGCCCAACAAAGAGAATCCAAACCATGAAGACTGGTGCCAGCAGGTCACAAAGAGCCACCAGCCAGTTTATAGCGAGGACCACGGTACCCCCACCGCAGTGTGCTGCAAACGGTTTGACTAAAGCAAACAATCAGTTCATATACAGTCGAATAGACACAGTTAAATCCCCAAAGCCGACCGTTACCGAGCCTGCATTCAAAAGCAAAATGGATTCTGGGTGAGGCGGAAAATACAATTTATCATTTCCTGAATTTCACATTTAAATTTTATGTTATGATTAAACAAAATTGCTAATAAAAAACCAAATATCTAAATATTTTTTTCACAGCTCCAATGGAAATGCCAAAATTGATAAAGCTGATATTACTATGAAGGAGGCTGTGGACTATCTAGCCAGTGATGAGGAGACGTATCAGCACTGTGGAGCTTCCTGCATCCAGCACAACACTTTCATTGACGACAAAGCTAAAGAGGAGGTAGCTTACCTCATTCTTAATATGGTTTTAATATGTTCATATGTTTTTATCTTATCTTGCTGTGGTGTTGGAATGCTTATCAAGTGTAACCTGGATCAGTATTGCTTTTATGAGACATGGCAAATGACAAAGGTGAAGGAAATACATTGAATATGAATCACTTGTGTTACAGTAAAAAGCACCTTCAGCTGACTTTTGTGATGCGGTGCTATATAAATAATCTTTTATTTGATATTCTAAAAAATTGCAACTGGCATATTACCAAAACCAGTTAAACTTAAAATCCTTCAGATTTCAGTCATAATTTATTCAGTGACGCTTTATTGGATTTGTAGTAGCAGTGAATGCAGTTTCCAATTACAGCAAATGCTGAGTAGCTGCTAAGTCATACCATTGTTAAAAATGTACTTCATGCTCTTTAATAATGCAATCATTTTATATTAAGCTTCACATGGATTCAATACTAAATGATCACTTGAACAAAAATCATTTTCTTTCTAATAAAAAAATGATTCCAAGCTGCACTTATCCTGAAGTCATGTGTTCCCACAGGTCTTAAAGCTTAATGGCATTCCTCCGTTGGTGAATCTGCTGCGCAGCCCCAGTTTGCAAGTCACCTCTACAGTCTCAGCTGCTCTTCGTAACTTGTCCTTCAAAAACGAGAAAAACAAAGAGGAGATACAGCGCTGCGGTGGCATCACGCAGGCCGCTGCGCTGCTCAAAGATGCAAACTCTTTAGAGCTACAGAAACAACTGACAGGTACATATTATCACACTGAAATATGCACCTCTATACAAACGGACACACACCTAACCAAACAAGTCTGACAGGAAGCAACTGGTGTGTAGTATCACATAACAGTGTTTACATACTCATCAAGTTCTGGCACATTATATATGTTTACTGTTTTTCAGAGGAAACTACCCAAACGGCTTTCATTTAGGTGCAGTTAAACAAAGATTCTGTAAATGTGTTGAAGAAGGAACAGTTAACACTATGATTGCATCTGAATAACACGTAAAATAGTAAAACAGTTGAGAAAACAGCCAAATACATATATAAACCTAAACCTATAAAATCAGCATGAATTCTTTTATATTTTTGCGACAGGCAGTGAACGACTTGGGTTTTTCTCTGTATCTATGAAGGGCCTTGAGGCGAGTTTTGTTGTGATTTGGCGCTATATAAATAAAATTGAATTGAATTGACTATTTCACTCAAAAAAATAACTCTTTGAATGAACATAAAAAAATCATGGAAAGAATTTCCACGTAATTAAATTGCTTTATTTTAGCATTATGCAATTCTGTTATTCCAACTTGATGTACTTGAGTTGGACTAACGTGATTAATTAAGGATGAATCAACTGTTTTACTACAGTTGAGTCCAACTTAATTTAATTGAGTTGATCCAACCCATGCAAATTACATTAGTGCAACAAAAATGCTTAATTGTGATAGAAAGCCATTTATTAATGTAGAAATCCTTTCCATGATTATTTTACGTTCATTTAAAGAGTTATTTTTTTTTTGGAGTGTTCAACAAAGTGTAACAAAGTCTAGAGTCTGGTTAACATAAAATGCGAATGGATTTATAATAACTTGCACTCCTCTTATCTTTACCAGGGTTGCAGTGACGCTGGGGCCTATCCCAGATGTGATAGGGTGGGAGTCAGAGTACTGGACAGGTCACCAGTCTATCACAGAGAGACAGACAACCATTTACACTCATGTTCACAGATATTTTAGAAACTTCAATTAACATAACTCTAATTTAGGCATGACTTTAACTGTGGCAGGAAACCAGAGTACCCAGAGAGAACCCACTGCAAACTTGGCCAAATTGCAGATTTGAACCCAAGACCTTCTTGCTGCGAGGCAACAGTGCTAACCACCGTGCCACCGAGCTGTCAATCTAGACTTTAAAAAAAAAGGGAAACTATGATTACAAGGCTTTATATAGAATTTTCTGTACGTTTTTGTCCTTTACAGGTTAAACCGTAATAAATAGCTGAGGCATATACGTAGTGTGTGTATGGTTGTCTGTCTCTTCTAACCCTAGTGATTTTCCTGTGGTTTGAACTCTTATGTGATCTTGTGAATTTTGTGAATACAGGCAACCAACCACTCTTACTAGATCGTATCATGTCATCTCAACAAGAATAAATTAATTTGCTGGATTTCATGCAGATCCTACATGATTTAATTACGTTCACCACAGAAACATGAAATTATTTTGTCCACATTACAAGTTTGAATTTTGTAAATGTAACAACCGCCCAATTTCATTTTTTTGAGTGTTGATTGACATTTTGATCTAACCGGTCATGTTTCCTTATCTTTCCAGGTCTTCTGTGGAATCTGTCTTCTGTAGACCATCTGAAGCCAGAGCTGTTGAAGAGTGCACTGCCTGTTTTAATGGAGCGTGTAATTCTTCCTTACACAACAGGTCCCAACCAGCTCAATGGGAACAGTAAAGATGCTGACATCTTTTTTCACACCACAGGATGTCTTAGGTAAGACGAATCATGTTCTAGCAGAGCATCACCAATGAATTCATTGCTTTTCCTTTACTGTTTGGTGTTTCTGAGCAGTAAATACATATCAAACCACCAGTAAAGTTTGCATTATGTAACAATCTTTTATAATTGTTTTCCTTAATTACTGATTTATTTTACTGGGTTATAATGATCCAGCCTGCCTTGCATGAACAGTTCTGGCTGCTGAGGGTTGCTGGGATATCATCTTTGCACACCTTTGGCCCCTTAGTAACAACTGAACATTATTTAAACACTACAGCCTTCTTGAGTATTGTTGTTCCATTGTTATAATGGATGCACACAAGGTAGTTTATTAACTCAAAAATCTGTTTGAGTCAATTTGAACATGTGTTTAAAAAATATGTATGAGTGTTTTTTTAAGGTAAGCTAGCTTCTTTATCAGGGTTGCTCATTGGGGTTGCTGCTTTTGAAGGATTGTCTTCAGAGGTCTGTTGTAATTGTTGGTAATACATTGTAATCTAATAACATAGAGTATGATAGGGTATCAGCTAAAAACACGACTCCAATCTAAAGCACCTGCCTGACGTCCTGTATTGTTCTACATTGCAGCTGTTTGTTTTCTGTTTTAATAATGACTGTACAGGATTAACATTGTTTACTTTTAAGGTAAGGTTCGATTGTTCTTAGATGTGATTTCTTTCAAGGGAATTCTTGATACCTTTTCTGTGAGGCCTTGTGTAACTGCTTTAGTCTGACAGATAAACACAGTGGAGTACATACAATGACTGAGTAAAGTATTTATATACTTTGCTTGTAGATGGGTTTGCCAACAGTATTTCTTACTCTGGGGTGTCTAATTAGCATGTATCTTGTGTTTTAATTTCAACAGAAACCTCAGCTGTTCTAAGCAAAGCTACAGACAGACAATGAGAAAATGTCGGAGTCTGATCGACTGTTTGGTCGCTTATATCAAAGCGTGTGTGCAAACAGGAAAACAAGATGATGAGGTAATTTGTGTGAAAAGCATTGTATATGTAAGTTTTGCATAACATGCTATAGAGAAAGCAGGGTAACTGCTGTGCTCAGCTTGTACATGTGCTTTTTAGAACCTAGAAAGTTCTCAAAAAGTGCTTATTATTTAATTCTGCATAATTACCTGCTCTAACTGACTTTCACATTTAGTGCCACAAAGTTTTGTTATGTAATCAAATGATCTTAAAGAACCATCTGTCGTTTTGCAGTAATTTTCCATAATAACTCATGATGTAATTATTATAATTATTGAAAATCTGTCTCCATTATTCTGTGTTTATTATTGTAGGGTTATAGTATAAAGCGCCTTGACGCAACTGTTTTGATTAGGTGCTATGTCAATAAAAATTCATTTGAATTCATCTTTTTTATTAGTTTACATTGCACATGTTTCATGTCAGTGAACTCAATGAACTCTTATGTATGACTGTTATCGTCTCTATGTTTTCCCCTGTTGAAATCAGTCAGTCGAAAACTGTGTGTGCATCCTGCACAATCTGACATTCCAGCTGGAGGCCGAGGCTCCTGAGCTGTTCATCAGGATCAATGCTTTGGGTAAAAACATATACGGGAGCAACAGCCAGGACAATATCAATCCCATCGGTTGTTTCAGCACTCGAAGCAAATCACTAGAACGTGAGGTGAGAAAGACAAATGCACATATTAGAATGGATAAAGTCCTAAGTAGTACTTTTGAACTATCAGAAGTAGTTTAAAAAGTACCTACAAGTACCTGTCAGTCTAGACAGAACCTGTTGTCCCTACCTTTCCGCTCTGCTGGAAGGGTGACAAATGATTTATCACTTGCGCCAACATTAGAGAAGTCATTATTAATTCCAGTGTTTGAAATTGACAGTGACGGTGGGAAACTTTCCGATCTGGCTCCTAAATGTCTGTGATAATTGTAACCTTATACTTCAGTCTGTTGCTCATTTGATAAAACTTTTAGAGCTGATTCAAAACAAAACTGACATGTTCTTGTAAAAAAATAATAATAATAAACCAAGAGACAGAATCTTCAGTCAGTTTTTAAAGTCACATCACCTGAAAAGCATATTAGCACTTAAAGAACATACATTTTTTATATTTTTTTTATGAATAGAACTAAAAGCAAAGGTTTATTTATTCAAATAATTAATCAATAAGAGAAATACACTTAGCATACCGATCAAGTAAATTTAATTTGACCAGATTCTATTAAATTAGAAAATGGTTTATATCTCCATCTCACCATCTCAATAGTTATTAAAAAAATGTTTACTCAAAAAGCAAAAAACCACAGTTCTTAGACATGCATGGAAATGACTAATCCAATAGTCACAACAGAGACTGAGAAATCGTTTAATAGTCTTCAAATCTCGTAAAGGCGTGTCCTCTTGGTACATCTCCAAACTTCTCTTTCACGGTTGGCTTATAACCCAAACAGACCTTTGCAAAATAAATCTTTTAACAATAAACAAAATTGTATTAAACTTTTTGTAGAGTTGCTACATGATTTTTGGGGGTGGAGGGATGAATTGTTGTGTGGTGTACTCGACCCTGTGATGAAATGGCGTTTTTTCTGCATTTAAAAAAAAAAAAATCCAAATAGGCACATTAATAAGGAGAGCACGCAGGATGGGTTTCAACGTGTAGCACCGTATTGCAGCGGTCTCCAACCTTTTTTGCGCCACTGACCGGTTTATGCCCGACAATATTTTCACGGACCGGCCTTTAAGGTGTCGCGGATAAATACAACAAAATAAAACTAGTACCGGTACCGAAAAAAA